CTAACCTTTTCGGTATCGGACAAAAACTCAAATGCAAAAATAAAGCGTTGGAAAGCCTTCATTGATAAGCACAACGCAAACATTATTTATAAACCCGGAAAAGAGAATATGGTAGCAGACGCTCTGTCTCGCCAAAACATCAATGCGTTAGAGGATATACCATTGAAGCCACAGACAACCCGGTAAATTGCTTTCGAAACCAGATTATTCTGGAAAAGGGGACTCCTCCAACAAAAGACGTATATTTTGTTTAAGACGAAAACTCGTCACATAATTAATTTTTCGGATCGCAGCACATTATTACAAAGCATTAAAGATGCAGTAAGCACTGACGCAGCCAACGCAATTCATTGCGAGCTACCCATACTGGCTTTCATCCAACACGGAATAGTTGAGGCGTTCCCTTCTACCACCTTTAGATATTGCAAGAACTTGGTTACAGATATTGTGAACCCATCAGATCAGAGGGAAATTGCGACAGCTGAACATAATCGCGCACATGAAGCAGCGCAAGAAAATGCGAAACAGATACTTAGGGAGTATTTTTTTCCAAAAATAGGTCACTTAACGTCGGAAATAGCTGCTAACTGTATAATTTGTGTAATGAGTAAACATGACCGGCACCCAAAAAAACAGGAAATAAGGAAAGCCCTGATACCATCGTATGCAGGAGAAATGTTGCATATAGATGTTAACTCCACTGCCAGTAAATACTTTCTAACTTGCATCGACAAGTTTTCCAAGTTTGCAGAAGTACAGCCTATACGGTCTCGCGCAATCGTGGATATAAAAGCTCCACTTCTACAACTTCTGAACATATTTCCCAAAACAAAAGCGATTTACTGCGACAACGAGAAATCCTTGAACTCGGAAACCATTAAGTCAATGCTCAGCAATAACTTTGGCATTGAGATTTCAAACGCTCCACCCTTGCATAGCTCCTATAATGGACAAGTCGAGCTGTTCCATGGCACTCTTGGGGATAAGCACGCTCTTATAAGTTGGAGACACAGGTAAAGGACACTGTCGAGAACATTCTCCTTGCAACCACAAAGTATAACAGGTCAATCCATTCGGTGACAAACGAAAGACCCATTGACGTAATTCACGCAGTCTCACAAAACAAAACAGTGCAGATCAAGGAAAAAATCGCATCAGCACAGAAAAAAGCACTAGACCAAATGAATAAAAACAGGGTCTATAAGTCGTATTTGGTAGGCGATAGAGTTTGGATAAAGAATGCTAAGATATTGGGAAATAAACTATCAACGCTATGCACAGAAGCTATAGTGGAAGCAGACCTAGGTACGACGGTTCTTATTAAAGAGAGGGTGGTCCATAAGGAAAATCTTAAGTAGGTTTTGGACATTTGATAAATCACGACAATTATATTTTTATAAATTTATTTTTAGGTTGAGATATTTTTTCAGTTTAACAATAGCAGCCATGACTTTGACCGAAGCGACATTGAGACTCAACGACTACTCTCACGCGGACTACATACCTATAGTTGACGGAAACGTACAATCTGGAACTCGTACACTTACATGGAACACACGACGAACTTGACATCTTTTGAAACTTACATCGATGAGACATGGAAATTGATAGACAATCTACCCAAGGACCACACGAAGCAGGTACTGAGAACTGAAATACAACACATAGCCACCTTAATAGCTCCTTTGACCGTTCACCACCGACAAGTACGTAGCATTAACATGATAGGTAGTGCTTAAGGCAATTGCAGGAACCCGAGATTTTGATGACTGAGAACAAATCAAATTCAAGCAGTCAGTTAACGGAATCCGAGAGCAAACAGATAGTGATCAACGGTAAATTCCAAGACTTAATGACGTTTCAAGGGCCCTCAATGAAATTTTAAAACCAGAGAGGTCGAACATTTTTATGCAACAATTTTGGCAAAATATATAATGATAATTACAAACCTTGAGGACCTAATCCTCACTGTTACACTTGCTAAAATAAATTTAATCAGCCCCCTTATACTAGACAGCATCGACATAAAAGAATTATTAAATGAATATCTCACCAATACTAGTATAACCGACCTTTTAGAAGTCTCCCATATAAAAGCTTTTCAAAATTCTGAATTATTGTACTTTCTGGTCAAATATCCCGAACCTTTGTTAAATTGTAAGAAAATAGATATTCTTCCTGTTCAGCATAATAACATAATATTAGATCTAGAAGAAGGAAATACGGTGGCCGACTGCGGAACAAAGACCTTCGCTGTACGTGACTGCGCTGACACTGTGAGAACCACTTTCTGCAGGAGACTACAAAATACTTCATGCGCCCAACAACTGGTATCTGAAACCGTCGCACAATGCGCCACACGCTCCGGACACCTAGCGCCCGTGGTAGTAATCGGCGAAGGCATTGCAGTAACAAACAGCGCGACCATGAATGTAGTGGACAGCACCGGTAACGGCCAGACAGTCATGGGAACTTCCTCGCAACTTACGACGATCACGTCTCACTGAATAACACCCGTTACGTGAACCACCAAGGCATCCTGAAGAAGAAACCTGCTGTATCCACGTCACCCGTGGTCAACGTCACCCACTTCAGAGAACATCTGAGCCTCCCATTCTTACATAACCTAACCATGAAGAATCTACGCCATATTAAAGATCTTAGATCGGGATTATCTTCACGATCATATGGCTGCTTGACACTCATCGCTCTATTCCTGCTCCTCGTGGTCAGCTGGAAGTTATACCAGCGCAGAAAGAAGAAACCCGAGGACGTGTTTCAGCTTAGTATGGGAGGAGTTAACACGCACAAGCTGTGTGTTTGCTGTCAACGCTGTTGCGCCGGATGCCGTCGAGACAAAGTTGCAGCCGAAATCCGAAACTCGCACGCGCAAGCAGCCGGATCGCCCGCTAGAAACGCCGACTCAGCATTCAGCCGGCATTCCAGCCGGCAGCGGTGGCTCAATGGTTCGATGCAGCTTGCCCTAAGTTTCAGTTTGGAATTTGTTCTCTTATTGTTCTAACGAACTTGAATTAAAAACGGATTACAAAAATAAAAGATACTTTAACTGAATATCAAAGTCTTCTTTAATTATAAAATAAAGATACTTTAAATGAATATCAACGAGTCTTCTTTTAATTTATATGGGATCTGTCACCCTCTCAACATAATCTTCATACCCATCCAGTTCCAGCCAACTGGACAGGAGTACAGAATGGACTAACCATTTCCTGAATCTTAAGCTTATCCGCAACCGGAGTCTTTGCGAAAAATTTACTTATACGCCTCGTCAACCGAATTTAGACACTCCTTGAAAAAAATTAAAAAAGCACAACAGGCCATACTTGAAAGATGCAACGCAACCAGACAAAATAAAGTTCGAAGTAGGGGAAAGAGTTAAAAAAAAAATTAAATAAAAGGCTTGTAAACAAACAGACCCCGTTGTGTTCAGAACAGAGTACAAGCAGAGTTGGGAACCTCGGTTCTAATTAATGGGAGCGTGGTCCACAGGGACAAACTCTTATAGAAATTAAGAGTAAAAATCAACACGCGGTTTTCATAGTTTACGCTTTAAGGGATTGTTGGCAAGAACTATAATGATCATAAAAGAAGTGCACAACCCAATGCTCACGATCACGCTCGCTAAATTAGGCATAGTAAACCCCACCATTTTTGACTATAATGACTTGAAATCAATTCTTTATGAACATCTCTCACAAGTCCCAATAGTTGGCCTTCGAAAACATTGTTCATGTACTTATAGCATATCCAAAAATCAAATTCATCTGTAGAAAGCTCACAGTATTCCCCGTGTTCCACCAGCATATAGTTTTACAGCTGCAAGACAACATTATAGCTAAGTGCAACGGCGACATCGTGGCGGTCAAGGAGGGCTCCATAACCAACTTTGGCGCGATCTGCAAAACAGCAAAAGGCAAAGCCTGCGCTCAGGCGATATACGCTGGAATGACAGCTCGATAATTATGAACGACAGCCCAACGTAAATCAGCGCTGACGACAGTCCAGAAATCGAAATCAATGGCACCTATCTCGATTTAAGCATTTCGCCGTGGTCCACGGCACTAATTTCATCAGCCAACAAGAAATATTAAGAAAAAGGCCAGTTGTAGCGGGATCCCCATTGCTCAATATCACCATTCATGACCCAATACCACACACAATACCAATGCCACAGCTCCACAGGATAAATAGCCAAAACTTATAAATCATCCAGGACTTCAAAGAAGAGCTGGAGTCGACCGCCTGCAGTTGTTTCTTCCTCATCTATTATCCATCCATCAGCAAATATATCGCAACCGGGGACGCTCACGAATTTATTTGGGGGATAGCTAACAAACAACCCCCGCTTGGTAGGCCCTATATATTTAAAGCTACCCTCGCATGGACATTCAGTACGAACACTCGAATGTACAAAAATAAAGTATACTATCTCCGGCAGTTGGCCGTAAAATCATATTGTAATTATTTGATAAATTATTACTGAGCCCAAGGCCATTAATAAAAAAGCGAAGTCAAGCTTTCCACCCTAATCGTCCTAGGACACTTGCGTTCAATCATAACCCAGCCTGGCCAGCAGCCTGCCCAGAAGACCTAATTTATATATAGTTTCTAGTTTGAATAAAATAATATTTAGCCTTCCGTATTCTCGGGGGCCGAAACCGCCAACCTCGTGCTCAGTGTGCCCCCACTGTTGTAATCAACTGTGATCAACTGTGCATCGATGATTCATAAGTGCTCAATTATACAGTTATAACTGGCAAAATAGAAATAAGTATGGAAAAAATACTGCAAAAAAATAAAACGAATTCTGTAAAAGTTAACGAGTAACCTTCTCTTGACAGAAATCATGATGCCGACACATTATATAGTTCGGCGAGCACCCACGCTCATGGTCCGTGTTATGGCTTATGCTGCCAACGATGGATTGCGTACATGCAAGAACAGTTTATCGCTTATAATTGCCGGCTATGTAGCTTGTTTTATATTTAATGCCAGTTGCAGTTTGTAATTGTCACTCAGAGCATTAGCTCTTACAAATAAAACATATTCATTCTCCGGTAACAGCCGTTAAATCATTGTACTCGTTCTTAGGATAAAATGATAAAATGATTCCAGATACCTTGAACACGTCACATAGCAACCCACCGCTTGACTATAAGACCAAGAAGACATTATTTAAATACATATACCAGTTTTTAAAGATTTACATAAAGTAGTGCAAGTATATAAGAGAGTAAGTTAAATATTGTAAAATTTGAATATTTGCTATAGGGCCTAACTAGTTGACTATTTTAAAGATATTTTATCTATGCAATTATCTTCGATTGATTTTTTGCCTGTGCGTGCTGCTGTTGAAATATTGTTATTCCGTGTCATCATCATATATTATAATTCCTTTAATATCGCGCTTTTTGCATTTTTAAGTTTATCAAGTCGTTTGAGTAGATGGTTATTAGCGGTTTCTGCTTCCTCCAAACGTTCCAAAATCTCCCGATGCTGTAAAATACAAATTGGGAAAAATTATAATATATATAAGGTTAATAAAATAATTAATGGGATAATTGATACAGGATATTCCATACAGCTATACGGCATTGTTCATAAGTGAAAGCTGGGAACAGTAGATGTGGATTGGCTTATGTGCCTACAGGATGCAGGAATGCCAAGACCTGTATTGCGATTAAATATCGGCTGAATCTTATTTTCTACACTTATTGCAGCAAATTTAACCTCGCATCTCTCCTATGAATATAATGACAAACTATCGAACGATATCAGGGTGCCAATCGGCACCACCATACTATGTATACCATTTTAATAACAGGGAATCTCAGACCCTAGCGGACCCTACTCAGACCCTACTCTGCCACGCTTTTAATTTTAGCACCGCAGAAGTAGTGGCTAGGGGCTCATATTTAAGTACAAAACAACAAAGGTGCCACTGAGAGCTTGCAAAATGTGACTTACTGTCTACTTTCTAAAACCCTGAACCCGTTGAAAATTGGTGAAAAGAGTATAAAAGGTTTGTGAAAATATATTTAACAAGCAGACGAAAGTATCTTCTACCCCATACATAAGATAATACATTCGACTAGCTATAAGTCAATGGCCATTAGATTCACAATAAGAACTCTGTTTTGCATGATCAACAGTCTAACTCCGCATGTGCAGCTACAACAGCACAGCCGCGCGTCAGAAACAAAGTTGTCATCAGCGTTCCCATGCACTGGTTGTTTGAAATACAATTCGCTTGGACTAAATGCTCTATCAGCGAATATAGGTCACAGGGCTAGCTTCGCTTTAAGAACATTTTTATACCTAGCTTACGTTTAACTTAAACAATAAATCAGTACCTAAACGACTGGTACCTCTTATAGCTTAGTGACACTTCCAAATTTTAAATTGTTTACATGTGTTTAAAACCAACCAACTTAACATAGAATGACATCCTTATGAATAATAGTGAACAAGAGGATTTAGTAGCCGGGTTAGACAAAGATGCTGTGAACCAAGGACAGTTTAAAACAAATAAATGTGACGATTAGTGCTCCGTTTGGCGAATCCAAGATAAAATCCCTACTCGTGTTTACGGTTTATTACTGTACTTTCTGTGAGGCCTTAGCGTTTGAATTAAAATTAAAAGAAATGAGAAAAAGAAAGCTCCTAACACATTCCGCACCCGCGGTATAAATAATTTAAGATGCCGAAATAATACACAAGACATAGAATGTCACGAGACATTAAATGTTGCTGATTTGGTGCCTCTGGGATAGAGTTCAAGCGAATTGGTGGACACGTAATACAGAAAATACATCAGCAACAACAGCGAAGCTTGCTGAGTGCAATGAAATGGCAAAGGAAGAAGAAATGGCAAAGAAACAGTGTCGCACCTGCGACACATTTACGAGAATCAAAGTTGCCTAACTTGCAGATCAAATCTCTTGGTGGCAATTAAAAGCAATGGCCAACACACTAGACGCTCACTTCGCCATCGACTAGGGACAAGATCAATGCATCTGCACTGGAGAACTTCAATGATATTCTGCTTGCAGATCGATGTTTAACACTACATCGCCAATAGACAATCTACTAGGTGCGGCTATGTATGGCCTGTAACTACTGACGAGAAGGAGCTAGAGAGACATGGCAATGTTATTAAAATTTCGATGGTATTTCTATGGGTGAACTACTACTACTGCTACCACGCGGCTTACTACGATTGACATCAACACCTCACTCCAAGAATTCTGGGAGTTGGACAACAAGGAGCAACAACACAGTTTCAAACTGTTCAACGACGACTACTTAAAGATGAATACCTGTGATACCAGTGTGTTAATTTTATGGAAGACTATGAGAGGCCAGGCCACATGTGGGAGCTCAACCCAAACGAGATACATACACATCAGAGTTTATGGATTTTTTCAAGATTGTGACAAAACAAACAAATATTTGTTCAACGTGACGTTTACCCCGTAGGGGTTTACTACCACGGTATTCGAAATACAGCGAGCCGAAATAAAGCGTCGGACTAGCGCCCCTCCAAGACACTGCATGTGCAGTGCCCCTTCGGTACCAAATTGAATGCATGCTTGTCGAACATGACATTCCCCCTTGGTGGGAGGTGAGGTCTATCTATACCTCCGCTGGTCTATGGGTACAGCACCCGGTTGACACGCAACTCCACGCCGAGTGAAAACTCTCCCCACAATTGGGTATCGAACCACAGCCACCACGATACTCCCCGAAGGGCCGCACCAACTAACCAGGACGGAACGAGTTCCGTGGGCTCCTGGTTACCCGTGGTACCAAATTACAGCTTTGGTCGGCAGTTCGTAGCAATTGCCACATCCCAGTTTTGTTGACGACAAACACGGAATGGGTCATCCATTGTTCGACTTACCCCAAGGGGTTTGTCTACCAGATTAAGCTCTGTTCGGCTTCGTGACACAGTCCATGCCACTCCCAGTTTTGGCTAACGTCAGCCCGGCACTGGTCGGCCCTGTGTGGCTGTACTTCACTCCATCCCTCGCCGCCGTCTAGCAAATACCGCCAGCGCAAACATCTCCAGGAGTAACAGCCGCTCTGGTGTCTCCAAGACCCGGGAAAAGTCCCAACGGGTACCTTCTCTCCTGACACCAAGTCCGTCGAGGTCTCGCAGATCTGCATAGAGTGGGCAAGCAACTAGCACGTGCTGCCAGTCTTCATACTCAGCACCGCATTGACATGCGGGCGTTGCACTCAGACTTCTCTGATGCAGAAATGCATTTAGCGACCCGTGGCCCGTCAGCAAGAATCCAGCGTGAAGACCGAATCCAAAGTCTCGCCGGCTGTAAACGAAGCATGCATCCGGGATAAACTGATGAGTCGGTCGACCGTGCTCATCACTATCCCATCTCCGTTGCCACTCGGAGCACATGCCTTCTTCCAGCAACGCCTTCATCTGCCTCATCTGCTCCAGCAAGCACCTGCAGTGCCACGGTGGACACTGTACGGCATACCGGTAGGCATCCTAAGAGCATGACTCTTTGGCAGGAGATGAGGCGCCTCCTGGCCCCCGACTCTCCCCTGACCGCGGAATACCATACCGAGGCACCAAAAAGTGCGCAAGGCACCATGAGTCCGGCATATACAGTGCGTCTGGCTCGGGGACTGAAGCCCCAGTCAACCCGTAACACGCGGCCTAATGCTCCGACGACTCCAGTCAGTTTATCCCGCAATCCTGCGATATGCGGCTGAAAATTCAACCGTTCACCGACTGTGATGCCAAGGTACCGGTACTTGTCGACATATGGTAGGCTTGCTCCTGCAAACCGTACCACGGGCGGCCTGGAAACGGCAAAACGCCCCTTCAACATCATCATTGCCGTCTTGCTGGTTGAGATCGACACTCCGACCTCGGCTCCCCAAGTTCCCACGACGGACATTAGCTCAGCTGCTCGACGCTCCAGTTCGGCTCTCGACCTTCCCTCGACAAGAACCAGCAGGTCATCGGCATATGCACTAAATGTGCACAAGGGCTCCAGGCGTTGGAGCAGGACATCCATCATGGTGTTCCAGATGAACGGTCCGCTGATGGATCCCTGGGGACACCCTCGCGTGACCTCCACCTCGACTTCGCCATATCTGCTGGTCATCCTGGCTTTCCTGCCACAGAAGAAGCTCCTCCACAAGCTAGCTTCCTTGCATCCCGCATCGATCAAGCGGCGCTCCACTCGATGTTGTCAAAGGCGCCTTTAAAGTCCACGAAAAGACCAAGTACGTATACCGCCTGGCTGGCGGCAACGCTGGTCATCACGTGCTTCCAGGCGTCCTCGACACAGCGTCCAGGTCGAAAGCCAAATTGCCATCTATTTCCATCCGGGAGCACCTCCTTCATTCGATCCACCATGATCCCCTCAAGCACTTTGCCAAACACTGGCAACAGGCAGATGCCCCGGTAGGAAGCTGGATCGCTCCTATCCTTGTCGGGGCCCTTGAGGAGCGCGACCACACGCGGGCACTTCCACTCAAGGGGAAAGTATCCTTCTGTCAGGCAGCGGGAATACAACGCTGTCAAGTGCTCGGGGATGGCACGCCATACCGCCTTGCAGATCCCACCTGTGATGCCGTCAAGCCCCGGAGAGCGCCTGCTCTTCAACCAAGCGACGCATACTCCAACCTCGAAAGCTTCGAGCGCTGCAGCAGCTTCGTCCGGAATGACGATGTCTTCACTCGACTCCGCAACTGGAAAAAAGCTGTGGAGGAGGAGACTCGCGCAGTCGTGCCATGTTACGACCAGCCCGTCATCCGAACGAAGGCACCTCAAATCGGTAGTCCGCTTTCGTCCTCGGCATATCTGGTAGACGTGCCCCCACGGATCGTCTTTGTGGTCTCCAACGAAGCGTCGCCAGTTTTCCTCCTTCGTCTTCAGGATGAGCGTCTTGAACTCGCGGACGGCTGTCCGCAGATGAGCTGCAAGATACGGCGCAGATTCATGACCTCTGCGCCGTGCATCCTGGAGCCTCCGCCTCAGTCTCCTGATCTCCCGGCGTTTGGTACTCAGTTCGGCAGTCCACCATTTAACTTTTCCCTGCGCTCTCGACGGTCTGCGGCCTAACACTCTGTCGCACACAGACTGTACGGCAAGGCGTAGGGCAGACACCGCGGTATCCAACGGCAACATCCTAATATCCTCCTGGGAAAGGTGCTCCTCGATTTCCTCTACCAGCTCCGAGTCGAACAATCGCCAATTAGCATTCGCGAGCTTCCAGGACGGCACAGGAGCATAGCTCTCAACTGCATTTGCTGGGGATGGCGAAGTCACAACAGTAATCATGTTGTGGTCGCTCAAATCCAACTCGTCCACACTCCAGTCATACGCGGCCCACGTAGACGCTGCTTCGTTCACGATTGTTACGTCGATATCGCTCTGTCCTCTTCCATTATCGAACGTGTACACCTCGCTGACTTGATTTAGCACGTTGGCACGACTTCCGAGTATCCACTCATCTAGC